ATTATGGATTAACTTATATCTTAACTAAATAAAATTTTTAAGACCTTTAANTGTAACTTAACTTAAATAAAAAAAAAATTTAACTTACCCAACCTTGCATATATCACGTGATCAAAGCCCTCTCTCTGTGCGCGTGCTATACAAGCTATTATTTTACAAATTTATATTATCCATCTTACAATATATTCATACGATTTATTAAAAAGTTTTCTTCAATGTCGTAAATTACATTTTAAAACGTTCAAAACAAATTAAACAATTTTCTCGAGCTTAATTTTGTTTGTTGTATTAATATCAAATTTTGTTGAAAACGTGTAATATGCAATACATCTGTACTTTGTTTACTTAATCGTATTATGTCATAAACAGCGCATATTAGTTCCTCTCATTTCGTTGCTACGGCGTACGAGCGCGCGAAAAAATGACAGCTACGAGCTGTCATTTTGCACGTGGCTGCACGCTCATTCGCAGATCTTTGTTAATTAAGATCTCGATAACTATTGCAAATCTAGCAAAGATAATATAAGACTTTTCGACTCAGTTTTACTTCTTCTACCTGCCTACGAGAGATATATGTTACACCAATTCTGGGACACCCTGTATATTAGGTACAGAAGTATTTCTAATAAAAATAATTATTTGCAATAAAAGTTTTTTGAACTTTTCCCTCCGATCGTTAATTGTTGCGCCAAATGGAAAGAGGGCGTTCTCAGTTAACTCAAATTTAGAGTTCGAATGTTGTCAGCAATGTCAGTTGCTATTGATATTTGATGATTTACAAAGTATTGTCACATTTTGTAAACAAACCTTGATTATTTTTAACACGTCGCACAACTGAATTTTGTAGTGTGCTTCTATATAGCTTTTCTCAAATAGAAAGGGTAAATATAAGGTTTCATTGTTATTGCTGTACCGTGTTGTTCCAAATTTCTCCTGTTCATAACTTAACCTCACTTAATTTCTATCAAGGAAAAAATAAACAGAACCAAAATGCCAGAAACCACGGAAGAAGAGGTGGGTATGTCGGTTCGACTGACAAACGATGACTTTCGGAAGCTCTTGATGACCCCAAGAGCATCGGTGCCGTCGGCCACCCCAGCTTCACTGCCTGGCACAGCGAGAGATGCCAGCGCAAAGACCGCTCAGACACCCCAGGTTAGCGGAGGCAGTCGGGCGGAATTGCGACGAAAGAAGAAGAGTTTTTACGCAAAACTGAAGAAACAGGAAGAAGACAAAATGGCAGAGCTAGCGGAGAAGTACAGGGATCGTGCCAGGGAGCGCAGAGATGGCACTAATCAGGATTATCAAGCGGAAGATCCCATGAACAATGCCAGCGCTTATCGAGCTGTTGCGCCAGATCTGAAGTCTGGCATGGATGCAGCAGAACGCAGAAGACAGATGATCCAACAGTCTAAATTCTTAGGTGGTGACATGGAACACACTCACTTGGTCAAAGGCTTGGATTACGCTCTTCTGCAAAAAGTATTATATCAAAGTTTTGCACATTTCAGTTTCAAGCTTTTTGTTTCAATGTGTTTCTATTGAATTTGCATATAAACAATATTTCTTCTTACAGGTACGCAGTGAGATCGAAGCTAAAGAACACGAACAGGAACAGGAAATGGAGAAGCTGGTGAAGCCAAAAGAGAAGTCAAAGAAAGAACCGGAGTCGAAGAAAGACGACGAGATGCAGTTTAAAACAAAGATCGGTCGAAATGTGTACAAAACTGTAATGACCATGAAGTCCAAGCAGATCGAACGGAACGAGCTGTTCACTCCGGGTCGCATGGCTTACGTAATCGAGCTGGATGACGAAAATGCTGACGTAGACATTCCAACAACGCTGATCAGAAGTAAGGCAGATGTGCCGACGATCGACAATACACCGACACTCACAACCAATGACATAGTGATTAACAAACTGGCTCAGATTCTGTCGTATCTGCGCCAGGGTAGTCGGCACAGCAAGAAGAGTAAGAAACTCAAAGACGGACGTGTGCGCGGCGACGAGCTTAGCGACATGATAGATATTCATCCGCGACCACCGGCTGCCGATGACAGTATCTACGGCGACATCGGCGACTACGTGCCGACGGTGGCAAGCAAGAAAGATGGGCAGTCGCGCGAGAAGAAGAAGAGTTCGTACTTTGACAAACCCGAATCGAACGCGGACACAGACGACAAGGCGAATGCGCCCCAGCTGCCGAGCGTGTTGCAACAGAATGCGACGCCCGTCGCGGCCGACAGCAACGCGCCGAAGAAGGGCGCGCTGTTGAACAAATTGGCGGCCGAGCCAGAAGGATACGCGGAGTGTTATCCGGGTCTGGACGAGATGCAGGACGCGATTGACGACTCGGACGACGAAGTGGATTACACAAAGATGGACCTGGGCAACAAGAAGGGCCCAATTGGCCGTTGGGATTTCGACACTCCCGAGGAGTACAGCGAATATATGAACAACAAGGAGGCGTTGCCGAAGGCGGCGTTCCAGTATGGGGTGAAGATGGCCGACGGCAGACGCACCCGAAAATACAATAAAGAAAAGAACGAGAAAGCAGAGCTCGACCGCGAGTGGCAGAAGATCCAGAACATCATGAACAAACGGAAACCAACGACAGCGATCGAGGGTTCGTCCGAGTTCAAAGTACCGCGCTATTGAACCGTCAATTAGCAACTTATATATTACATGTTCGACTTATATATATATACATTTCGACTTATTGTGTAGGCTATTGTCCATATTAGATCGTAACGCTAGAAGTGGGAAAAAACTCGTGTCTCAATGAAATTATTTCTATATTGTACAAATGTACAAAATCTTCTCTCTCTCGTACCGAGTCTTTTCTTATAGCAGATTTTTCTCTGGTGAAACAAATGAACCAAAGTAATTGTTGCACCACAGAAGCTTTGTTTAAGTTGTAGTTATGTTATGTGCAAAAATGCAAAATATAGCGACCCGAGCACCGCAAACGAGATATGTGTATATTTTGTATTCTACATATGACGAGAATCGCGTATATTGTATTAATATATTGTTATATTAAGTCCAGGAATTTTTATTATACACGACTAGCGCGTGATACATGTATTTATATTTATAAGTGCGTTGATACTCCGAAAATAGTAATGTCGCACATTGCTTGATTGAAACAAAATGGTCTATTTGTCAATCGAAGAGCTTTACTCTTTGTCTAGTTCGAAGGAGATATAGATTTTGTCGTCCGATACAGATAACTCGATTCTTTATGAAGTAAGGTCGTTAGTAACTAAATGATATAACATCACGATCGGCTGTTTCTGCTGTGTCACGAATACGCAAATCGAATAACGCTGAGCAGAGCGTTTACACGTATCTGATATTCAGTGGTAAAGATCGTCACCCCGACTACGCGCGGAATGACCCAAAAACCAATTCGAAGCAGTTCAGCGGAGACGATTAACAAAGAGGAAACCCCCAGTTTTACTAGCGAGATCTTTTACCTATTTACATTTGGATTATCCCGGGGACCAGATTGAACCGGTTCGGACTCATAGCGAGTGGCTCCGGTTACAAGAGGTTATCAGACGTTATTTGCGTCATAGAAAGCATTTTTTCCGTGAACCGTTGTCTTATAATTACACAAATAATTTAGGAACACACCGAGTGATGCGCACTTTTGTTCAAAGAGGAAGTAATAAAACATTTGTAAATATTTCTCTAATGGTAAGTCCATTTAACATTGTAAAATTAATTAAATATATATATCAAAGAAAAATACAAAAATGTATGTTTTTTTACACATTTTTTGTCTCCTTTTATCGTATAACTAAATATGACAGTAATTGAACAACCCAAAATGTTTGAATCTGTATCTTTTATTTTTATAATTTGCAAAACTATTCCGTTTCGTTCCATATCGTTACATATTCTTTTTGTAATAGCAACTATATAACGGCAAAAAAAAATTTGTTATATCATTATATATGTATGTATGTGTGTATACAGGGTGTCCGACAATTATTTTAACATCTCTCGTAGGCAGATAGAAGGAGTAAAACAGTCGAAAAGTCCTGAACCATTTTTTTCTATTACATATAATAAAAAAGTAATTATTGAATAAATCAAGCCAATCAGCGCCGATCTTTAGCCGAACGCACATCAGTGAACCACACGTCTGGTGTGCGTGAGCGCTCCGCGCGGCTCACTGACGTGAGCCCGGTTCACAACACAACGCGCGCTCGTAAATCTGAGATGTTATGTTTTTATTAAAAATACACGAATATTTATATGCATAATTTGATGAATCATTCAAATGCGAACACAGTCATGGAATATCAGTCGTCCGTGTCTTACAAGATAGCACGAGGAGGAATGAGCGAGATACGGTCAACATTATATAAACGATGGCGCTTTAATCCGGGGGTCACAAGAGACGAAAGAACCGATTCCGATACACCAGCGTGAATACTAGTCCGGAGCCGACCGTAAAGATCTCCGCACATTTCAATCAGAGTAAGCAAAAGTGAAAGTGCGCGTGAAATCAGCAAGAAAATCGAGATCGCAATTATATGTATCTTGTCCTGTAATCCTGAAACCGATGCTGGGCCTCCGGAATCTCATCTTGCGACGCTATTTCACCTTTAGTGCCGTAAGCCGCGAATTCCATTAAGAAAACGTTTAACTATTAAACTAACGTTCGGATAACAGTTTGTAAAGACGTATGTAAAAACCATACGTTTCGTTTACGACTCGATTGTCGCGACCGCGAAATATTTATCTCGATGTATTGAACGTATCGCACTGATAAGTAAATAATTATATAAATAAACACACGTATCAGTAATTCTTTTTTTTTAATAAAAATATCAATAAACTATCTTTATTTGTTTTTAAAAAAAAGCATTATTTTTTCACACACGTTAATGATTTAGCGACACGTGTTCGTATAGAATACAAAAGTATTCACAATTTAAAGTGTGAATAGAAGTCATAAACAAAGATATTATAGAAATTAAAAATACAAATTATCAAATTTACTGAATTTTTTACGGACTTTTATGCACTTTATTATTTTCTTATTTTTCTGATTTTGTGTGCGTGTGTGTGTTAATAATAAGATTTAGATTTACAAAATAGATTTTTATAAAGTATTATATATAGTATATATATTATATATAATATATATATATAATATATATATTTATTATATATGTTATTATATATAAATGTATATAGTATATATAATATATATATTTATTATATATGTTATTATATATAAATGTATATAGTATATATAATATATATATTTATTATATATGTTACTATATATAAATATATATTATACACAATATAGTATATATGTATATTAATTTTATAAAGTTATAGACTTATCGTCTTTAAAGTAATACGCATACACACACACACACACATTTGTATTACATATATAACTCACTTCTCTTTTTCCTGGCCTGTATTTGATAAATTACAATTAATATTTTTGTAACAAAAATATTAATTGTAATTAATTGTAAAAATAAAGAAAAATCTGCGCCAAGATAAATTTATGTTTAACAAAAAATTGCATTAATTTTTAACATATTAATATATAATTATTCATTATATTTTATTAATTAATATTATTAAATATTACATTTTTTTTTCATATGTGCGGTGATGGTAATTTATGATGACGACTAAAGGTTCTATTTTCTGCATGGTAGTCTGTTCTATTAACAAAAAGAAAGCTTCACAACTGCCTTCTTATAGTTTAAACCTACACTGTTAACATTCACACGGCGAGCTAATATTCGAACAGGTACGTAGATCGCTATTTTCAGATAATTCTGTGATAACTAAATAAATTGTTTATTGTTAAAAGAACTTTACCGAGGAAAGAAAAAATTTATCTTTTACTGCAAAAAAGTTTAATCACATCAGTTAGATAACATCGAGTCACATTTATATTTACTGATAAGACAAAAATATACAAAAGACTTTTTTAACAAAAAACCATTTCTTTTATTTTCTATTGTATGCATGAAAGGTGAGACTTATTCTTATGATAATAAGTTTGAAAGACAAGTTCGAAGAAACTGCCGTATTTGTTTATTTTTTGGAAGTACAAGAAGTTTCTCAAATAACAGAAGTTTCAATTCTCTCTTTTTCGTTTTCTACGGAGCAGAAGAAAATATTGTTGAAAATTCTTCTCTTGCAACATTAAATTTGATTTGAATATTAGAAAAATTAATTAACTTAAACATTGTCCAGTAGCCCCTGCTATAAGGAGTCTAAGAAAAAAGACTGGGGTTTTTGTAAACGGAGACTACTGTACATATATTATTAAACTTCTTGAACAAATTTGGTAGCATATTTTCTACAGTATAAGATATATATTTAACGATATAAAAATAAGTTAGTATATATTCTTTACAATTTTTCTACAATAAATATTTAAATAAAATTTCTCATAAATAGATATAAAAAATATAAAAAGATATGAAAAAGAGATAATAAATATAAATATAAATTTCTAAAGAAATTTATTCGTGAACGCAGTCGATGATGGCACAGCTCAAAGTGGCTATCATCGGGCAGAGTCCCTTTGCGGCGGAGGTTTACAAACTCTTGCGACAAAACGGACATCAGGTCACCGGAGTGTTCACGATTCCGGACAAAGGAAACCGCGAGGATCCTCTGGCCGTCACTGCCAAGGCCGATAACACGCCGGTCTTTAAGATCAAATCTTGGAGAAGCAAGGGAGTGATCTTGCCCGAAATTCTGGAACTGTACAAGAGCATAGAGGCAGATCTCAATGTCTTACCCTTCTGCACTCAGTACATTCCTATGGAAGTCATCAATCATCCTCGTCTCCGCACTATATGTTATCACCCGTCTTTGCTGCCCCGACACAGAGGAGCGAGCGCTATAAACTGGTAAGTCTTTATTTCCGTCATCACCAGAGCTGTTTTTATTGGATAAGGCAAATTGTATCTCTATGATAGAAGATTTTCAAAGCAGAGAGATAATTGTTACATACAAATCCAATATCTTCAAAACTGTCAATTCAAAATTACGTCGTCGCGATATACTTGATAAAAAATAAATATTTTGTAACTTATTTACATTTTACATTTTGATCATTATTTTACTCTGGAATTAATATATATACATATAGAAACTGTTGTATCGCGACCGACTGACCTCTGTACGATTTGTGCGCACCGATATGTGAACGTGATTGAGTTCTGTTATGCAATACGTTATATTATGAATCAATTTATAATTAATTTTTTTAAACCAAATTTAAGTAACTTGGATATATATATATATAACGTATTGCATAACAGAACTCAATCACGCTCACATATCGGTGCGCACAAATCGTACAGAGGTCAGTCGGTCGCGATACAACCATTTCTCGATATATATTAGCATCCTTGCACGCGTCGTGACAACCGGTTTGCTGCAAATCTCGCTCTCTCAATTGCAAAGCAAAGCTACTTTCTCGTTGAAAACACGCATACGATAATGATAACATACATATTGACGATAACATACGCGAGCACGAACTCGCCATATGATTTCCAATGTTTGCGTGCTTTAATATTACTTATGCTACATGTGTATTTCTTATTATACTAAGGAAAAAACTATTTGAGCAAACACTTGAAACAAAAAACTTTATTTTATTTAAAACAAACTATATATTCGGTTCGCCCTAATGACATAAGAGTGTATAAGTTTTAAACAACTATTTTTATATTATAATTTAATAAAAGAAAAATATATAATATTATATAATTATTAATTTATATATTTTATATAT